CACACCTCCAATCTAACAGAAGACCAGGAATTGAATTAATTGAGGAATATTAAAAATGGATAGTAATATCATTTGTTATTTATGTGAGTAGGTAAGACATGCATCAATCATGCAATATTTATTCACCAGTTCCCAAAAGGGCATGCACTTTAATGTCAGTTCTGCTCATGAGTAAAATTGTGTTTTGAATTTCAGATTTAGAGACACCCTGTAGCAGTAGCTCTTGTCTGAACTAAATCTTGTCTTAACACTTACTTAATTGGTCAGGGCAAAAGCCGCATACCGTGTGAGAATAGAAGTTTCCAAAGGCACTTGTTCCACTCTCAGTTGAGGCATTGCTGCAATATCACAGCCTAATTCCAATTCCAACCAGTGGTAGATTCAATATCTTAATGACAAGATCTCCTGGACCAGCAGCCCTTCAGGCTCCAACTTCCTCAGTCTCCTGCCTCAGTCCACCTCACTGAACCAGTGTGTTCTTGGTGTTTGTTTCTCTATTCCCTCACATCCAGTTTGTGACCAAATCTGCTTTTCTGCTTCTTCGCCCTGTTGCCCGCCTGTCTGTATCTTATCCCTAATAATGCTAAAACTCTTATTCTCACCTTTCATAAATTCAGACTCAAGCACTCTGCTTGCCGGCCTCCCCATCTCCACTATTCGCAACCTCTAGGTCATCCAAAATTTTGCCCCCACACCCTCACATTCCCACCTTTCCTGCCAAGCTTTCCCACCCCTCCCCCACATCCTGCAAACTTCTCTGCTATCTGTCCCCTCTGCATTGCCCTTCAAAATGTCTGATCCCTATCTAATGGTGGAGGCAGAGGGCATGGCTGATGTACTGAATGAGTACTTTGCATCTGTCTTCACAAAAGAAGTGGATGCACCAAATGCCACAGTATCGGAGGAGAGGATAGAGGAAATGAATACGATAAGTATAAACAAAGAGGAAGTACTGAAAAGATTGACTGGGCTCAAGGTAGATAAGTCGCCCGGTCCGGACGGGATGCAGCCAATGTTACTATTGGAGGCACGGGTACAAATAGCGGAGGCTTTAGCTACAATTTTTCAATCTTCGTTGGACACAGGGGTGGTGCCAGAGGACTGGAGAGTGGCTAATGTGACTCCCCTGTACAAAAAGGGGCAGAAGGACAAACCTGGGAACTACAGGCCAGTCAGCCTAACATCAGTAGTGGGGAAGCTCCTGGAGACTATAATCCAGGACAGAATAAATCTTCACTTAGAAGAATATAGGTTAATTAGGGACAGCCAGCACAAATTTTTTAAAGGCAAATCTTGTCTAACAAATCTAATAGAATTTTTCGATGAGGTAACGGGGAGGGTGGATGAAGATAGTGCAGTTGATGTAGTTTATATGGACTTTCAAAAGGAATTTGACAAAGTACCACATAAAAGACTTGTAAGAAAAATAGAAGCCCATGGTATAAAAGGGACAGTGGCAGCATGGATGCAGAACTGGCTGGGAGACAGAAAGCAGAGAGTTGTGGTGAACAGCTGCCTTTCTGACTGGAGGGAAGTGTGCAGTGGCGTCCCTCAGGGATCGGTATTGGGATCACTGCTCTTCTTAATATATATAAGTGATCTGAATTTGGGTATAGCAAGTACCATTTCCAAGTTTGCCAACGACATAAAGTTAGGTAGGGCAGTAAACAGTGAGAAGGATAGTAGCCAACTGCAGGAAGACATAGACCGAATGGTAAAATGGGCAGAGCAGACACATGGCAGATTCATTTAAATGTGGAGAAATGCGAGGGAATGCATTTTGGAAGAAAGAATGAAGGGAGGCAATATAGGCTGGTAATACAATCTTAAGGAGGGTGAAGGAACAGAGACCTGGGGGTTCAGGTAAATGAATCCTTGAAGGTGGCAGGACAGGTAGATAAAGCTGCAAAAAGGGCATATGGGATACTAGGCTTTATAAATAGGGGCATAGAGTATAAAAGTCAGGAGGTTATGATTAACCTATATAAAACACTGGTTAGGCCTCCGTTAGAATACTGCTCCCAGGTCTGGGCACCACACTACAGGAAGGATGTTAAGGTATTGGAAAGGGCGCAGAGATTTACAAGGAAGGTACCAGGAATGAGAGACTTTGATTATGAGGAAAGGCTAGAGAGGCTGGGATTATTCTCATTGGAGCAGGAAGGTTTTCAAAATCATGAGGGGATTTGGTAGGTTAGAAAGGGAAAAACTGTTTCCACTGGTGGGTGTGTCGGTGACTCGAGGTCACAGATTTAAAATAGTTTCTAAAAGAAGCAGAGGGGAGATGAGAAGAATTTTTTTCACGCAGCGAGTTGTTCGAATCTGGAACGCACTGCCTGAAAGGATGGTGGAGGCCAATTCGAAAAAAAAACTTTTAAAAACGCGGTGGATGGGTATTTGAGGAGGACGGGTTTGCAGAGTTATGGGGGAAGGGCTGGGGATTGGGATTGACATTACATTGCTCTTTTCAAAAAGCCGGCACAGACTCGATGGGCCGAATGGTTTCTTTTTGTGCCGTACCCGACGTGAAAGGCGCTCAATAAATTTGGTTATTGTTGTTGTTGTACGATTCTATGATTCTATGATAATAAAGCCCTCACTGTCCACAAACTCATTGTGGACGAAAAAAATCGACAACCTTGCTTTTAATGAAAGGTGACAATTGAGGCCACGTCACCTGGCTATACCTCCATCATGCCCCGCGACCCAACCGTCATGGCGGTGGTGTGGTCCTCATCTCCAGGTCCTCACTGGGTCTATCCTTTTACTCCTCTGGATCCTTCTCCTCATTTTAGCAACTCACTCTCTACCATCCCTCCAATCTCTCCTTAAAAATCCTCCTTATCTATTGTCCCCCCCCAAACCCTCCTCAACTTTCCTCCCTGATATCTCCACCCAACTGTCTTCCCTCTGCCTCTGTTCTGAACACCTCATCATCTTTGGCGACTTTATCTTCCACTTCACCCCTTGTTGCTCTACATCTGCTGACTTCTCTCTCCTCTCCTCTCACAACCTCTCCCTCCACATCAAATCCGCCACTCACATCCAAAGCCATCCACTAGACCTGGTGATCACCCGGGGCCTTACCATCTCTGATATCATCATCACTGACAAAGGCATTTCAGATCACCATTTTATCTCCTTTAACTCCTTCATTCCCCTCCCTGTCACCCACCCAACGTGCATCTCCTTTTGCCCCTGGAGAAAAATCCATGCCCTCTCCACTACCTTCCTTTGACCCATCTCTGCTCTCCAACTACTGCCCCATTTCAAACCTTCCTTTTCTATCAAAGATCATGGAATGAGTATCGGTTCCCAGCTTCACTCTTTCCTCCCCCAGCATTCTCTCCATGAACCCCTCCAATCTGGGTTTCATGCTTTTCACAGCACAGAGACAGCCTTGGTTAAAGTGACAAATAACATTCTGTCCATCTGTCTCCTCATCCTTCTCGACCTCTCAGCTGCTTTTGATACTGTTGACCACTCTATTCTTCTCCACTAACTCTCCTTTCACCTCCACCTGAATGGTTCTGTTCTTATCTGTTTGTAATCCTACTTTTCCCACCATCTGCCCTTTGTGGCCTCCGGCAGCTTCTCCTCTAGCCCCCACACTGTCATGTGTCATCCCTGCGGGTTCTGTCCTCAATCCTCTTCAATCTATGCATGCTCCCGCTCGGCGATGTCATCCGCAGGCATGGGGTCAATTTCCATGTGTATACAGGTGACACCCAACTCTATCTCGCTGCCTCCACCCTTGACTCCAGGACCATTGATGTCCTGGCCAATTGTCTGTCTGACATCAACTCCTGGACGAGAGCCAACTTCCTCCACTCAATGTTAGCAAGATGGAGGCCTTTCTGCTTGGCTCCCAGCAGTGTCTCCTCACCTCAGCCACTGACACTATCACCATTCATGGCTGCACTCTTCACCTCACCGAGTACAATCCAAAACCTCAGTGTCCTTTTCAATCCTCAGCTATCCTTTAAACCCCACATTCGTGCTGTGACCCGTTCCTCCTTTCTACACCTCCGCAACATTGCTCACCTCCGCCACTGCCTCTCACCACAGGCCACCGAGATCCTGATCCACGCTTTCATTATGTTCCAGCTTGACTACGCCAACTGCCTGCTCACTGACTTCCCAACTCTTCCCTCCACAAACTGCAGATTATTCAGAACTCTGCAGCTCAGGTCCACTCCTGCACCAGGCTCTGAGAACCTATCACCCCTGTTCTTGCCCGGCTTCATTGGCTCCCATTCCTCAGAGAATCAAGTACAAAACCCTGGTTCTTACCTTCAAGGCCCTCCAAGGTCTTGCTCCCCCTACCTCTCCGACCTCATAACCCCATGTCAGCCTGTCCACTCCCTCCACTCAGCGGGCACCTGCCTGATTCAGGTCCCCCGAACTTCCCGCTCCACCATTGGCGGTCGGGCATTCAGCCTCTCTGCCCCTACACTCTGGAACTCTATCTCTCAATCCCTCCACCTCACCCACTCTTTTGCCTCCTTCAAGTCCCATCTGAAGACCTTACTCTTTGACCGTGCCTTCATGGTCCCAGGGCATGTCCAGAGCCCTGGGACATCTTTCTGACATGAAAGCCGCTATACAAGTGTAATCTGTTGCTGTTGTTGTCACCTGTACAAAATGTTGTATACGCATCACCCAGTCCTCCTCTGTCTCCACTAGCTCACAATGGATGGAATTTAAGATCCCCGATCTTCTGAAGCAAGCTCCCTCTACCCCTCCATCTTGCCCCCTCTCCCATCTATCTTGAAAGGCGTAAATAATCTTATAAAAGCAGGTCTTCAAACTCTAATGTGGCTTATTGCTAAGCAATTGTGTGTCATTTCTGAGACCATTGCACCAATGTGAATGTCACATAATGTATGCTTTTTGCAATTAATTTATATTTGTGGTGGATGAAGTCTTTTCTTTCTTTATAAAGGGTATTGGAAAAATCTGACAAACAGGCCTGATATTCTTTATTTTCTTAATTTCAGGTATAGTTTCCAAAGCATATGAATGTCGGCTTAAAGGCCAAGGAGCACAGTTTGTGGAAACGACTGTTCCTTTCATTACACCTCAAAGCCCCGAAGCCAAAAGTGATGATGCGGATGACTGCGGGGAACAGGAAGAATCGACCGAATCCATCAGTCAAGTAATTATTATTCAAGGGTATCAAGATGGGTATGGTGATGGTATTTCTTATGATGCATCTGTTGAGGCAACTGCAGCAGCAACTCTTCAGACCCTGGCCATGGCAGGTCAAGTAGCTCAAATGGCCGAGGTGGTGCATATCACTGAAGATGGTCATGTTATAGCCACAACGCAGAGCACGGCCCACGTGACCAGCATGATGCCGGGTCGGATTCTTACCAGAAGATTGACGCCGGGCACCACCCAAGTGGTCGTTGTTGAAGGTCCAGTAGAAGAAGGCAATGTTATCGAAACAGCCGCTGCCATGGAGGCAATCACCAATTCCAGGGGTAACTTGGTGGAACATGTAATGCCCCAGGAGGAGTCCAGAAGCCACTCGGCAGACACACCTACTGCGCTAGATGCACTCCTCTGTGCTGTCACAGAGCTAGGTGCTGTGGAAACTCAAGAAACAGAACAGCAAAGTACTGAAACAAGCCACGAGGGGGCTTTCTCAGTCAACATTGCTACCGAGGAGGTCACTTCAGTTCCAAATGAGTCGATGTCCAGATCAGTGCAGATGTTCCATAAAGTACAAGCTGACCAGGGTACTGCAGAGGCAATGGAGATGATGTCAGACATGGAGCAAGTAAGCTCAGTCACAACACAAGAAGAAACTCAGGTTGCCTTCTCTAACATGGTTCAGGAGGTGCTGCAGTTCACTATGTGCGATGTGACGACAACGAGACATATTGTGAATGACGGCATCACTCGGGTCATAGTGACTGAGGAAGGGACTGCACACATGGTGGAAGGAGCTTCCCAGATCATAATGCAAGAAAATGGAACGCAAGCCATAACCACTCACGGCCATCCAGTGAACTTGGTGAACTCTGCTGGGGAAATATCACAAATTATTGTCACAGAGGAAATAGCCCAAGTCATGGCACAAGAGGCATCTGGTAATATGACTGAAGAAACAACTCATGTTATAGTAACAGAATTACCGCACAGTGTGGTTCACACTGACCAGCCTGATACTGTAACCGAAGTTTACCCACATGGTGTGATGGAGCTGGTTAATGAGTCTGGTGAGGTGCTGTCATCTGTCAGTCATCCACTAACAACTATTGCATTGACTGAGTGCTATACTGAGGACAGGTCAGAAATGATAGTGACCGAGGTATCAACTCAGGAAGAAATTGAAGTTGCTGGAGCCCAAGAAGTATGATGTACCAATTGTCGGGTAAAGAGGTGGATCAAAGATGGTGTTTTATCAGATGTACGATGAAAGTTATAACATGCTTAGTGTGGCAGAATGGACACCGTGCCTGCTCATTAGAATTGTGATCGCCATAAAGAAATGTTTGGTGTATTGTCTGATAAGATGAGGGTATCTGAAAAGAATGTCATCAATAAGGCAATATCATTTTAAAAAAGCTAGTGCCCCAAATCCCAGCGCTTTGCAGTTAATTGTATGCATCTGTTTATAAAATAGCTTTGAAGGCAGTACAGTAGAGCAATGTGTCAGGCAGGCAGGATAGTTCTTTGCATAGAGTTGCTGATTTCCGGTATGCCAACTGGGTGAGGCACCACGTCAAGGCCAGGCAACTTCCCCACAGGCAGACAACAACAGCGCACAAGTCAGCGGCCAATAACCTTGGCATAGTCCTCAGTCAGAGAGTGCTATAAGTCACTGTGGACCCGAAAAGGGGAGGAAGAATGCACACAAAATGAGGGGGAGGGAGGCAAATGGTAGCCTAGTCATTTTAACTGCGTGACTCATCTGTTTATGCTCCCAAGTTATTCATTTCTGTTTAGAGCCACTGAAGACTGAGGATCCTATGTCTGAATTGTGTGCAAACAGACGTCCATAAAGTTTGAAAGATTAGAATGCACACTTGTCAACCGTCAAAGATTTTTGAAATCATTTTTCTTACGCCCGACATTGGCAGGAAGAAGTGAAGAGAAACCTAGACAGATAAACCAGCTTGGAGAAAGGGGGGGGGGCAGGGGAGGGTGGCACTATGGGTGCAGCGGGAGAGCAAAAATTCTATTTTGTGCATTTATCTTAACTTTTTTTTAATGAAAGCAAATTAAAGGATAAATACTTTAGAAAGTACAGCAAAGGCAGCCACCACAAATGTTGAGATACACTTAGCTATTTCTTCTTTGCAATTTCAATGTTCCAACACTGCTGATTTCTCCAAAAGGTACCAATGCATTCGATGCCCTGCAGTTTTGTTCCTTTGTTTCGGCAGATATTACTGATATTGATGCAAATCGGAAGCCAATATTATCTAAGATTAAAAGGAAGAGAAGTGTTATTCAGCTCAGGTGGTCTGTTTAACTGTGTGACAAATGAAAGGTGACAGTGTTTGATTTTTATATATGACAATCGGGAACGTCATAAGAAAAAGTATCTTTTCTCTGCTTTTTTTGTTAACCAACAGCAGGACTAGTTACAATAAATTGTTCTGATTTGACAAAAAAAGACAACTGTATAATTTATAGTCTGCATGCACATTTATAAGCCTAAAAGTAATTTGAGGGAGTGGGGGAAGTGGGGACTGTCTTAACTTTTTATATATCACAAACGGAAGAGAAAGAAAAGAACTTGGCTAGAACCCAGTAGTGTAAGTAATTCATATGTTTACCAATTATGAAACTAATCTCTATTTTAATGTACAATTAGTGAATAATAATATAATTACATGATGTGTTTTACACATGCAGCACCAACCAATACGCTGCAAAATCTGTCAGAAGCATAGAAATATTATTTTAACTATTTTAACTGGCTCAATTAAACTGGCATCAGTTTTGTCATGTATCCATTTCAACTTTAAAGATGTGTTCTCAGTGAGCTCATCTGAAAGCTGAGCAAATTTGTCCAGTAAGGAACTCACATGGTCACAAGACTGGTCTGGATCAATCTACTGCCCATCTAATCTCATCCCTCCAGAACACCCACTCTATCATCCCCCTCTATCACTGCATCAAGCTGCTCTTTAAATGAATCCATTGTCCTGGACTTTACTGCCATTCCTAGCAACCTGTTTCAGTTGTCAATTACCTAGGCCATGCAGACCAGAGAGATACTAGATTCAGTCCTTGATCTGGATTGAATTAGGTCATCTCAGCAGCCACTACAATTAGCCTCAGTGTCATGGGTTTGGAGAGGGTAAAAACTTAACCAGGGCTTTCACTTGTGGTCGTTATCTAGAGGCCACTCACTGCTGGAGATACTTTCGTATGGATGTGAGTTCTTGGCTTGACTCTGTGAACAATGAATGACCACCTGGGCAAGCTCTACGCAAAGGGAATCTATGGTACCGTATCGCAGTAGAGGGAATTGAAGGAGTTAAATACCGTCAGGAATGGAAGCAGAGGAAAGGAAATTGGCATTTTCTTGAAAGGTTCAATACTTTTGACGGGTACAAAAAATTATTGCAACCACTGAGTGAGGAAAACGATCTGAATTATGTGGGAAGTGTTCACTCAGAAAAGGTGTAAAATGACCACTATCACCGATTGCATCATTCATTTCACAGGACAACTACCATACATATGAGGCAGACAGTCTATCACAGTGCAAAGAACAGTGCAGGAGATTAGAAAAATGCTTATGGCTTAAAATATGTCTCATTTTCTACAGGACAAAATGGACCCGTTTAATTTCTAGATTCGTTAACAGACGTAAAGTAAATGTGAATGAATCAATTGTTTTTTTTATATAAAAAAGCTTACCCACTATCTATATTATCATTATCACTCTGAAAGCACTCACAGTTGAAGGTTATAGTATCATGCAATATCATTGAATTATCCCTGTTCTTGTGCTGCAGCAGAGTTCAGCATTACTGTGCTTACGAGTGACGTGGTGCTGTGTGTTACACAGTGATTGTAAAGTCATTGCAACATTGACAACGAGATGATATTCTGTGCAAAATTTACATATCTCGTGTTGAGCATCACAATTTGCTTGTTTCACTCTGCTTCCAGTCGTGTGCCAGGTTAATGATTTGACTGAAACAGTACAAGTTTCTTTTGCAGAGGAATATGGAGGTGTAGATGTGTTTGAACAGAACTGATCATGACATTTAGTACATATCATTAATATTAAGTAGAAATAAGAAGGTCAGCAGACTGGACTTCCTTCCCCCCGCCCCACCCCCCACACATATTCCTTCTTTTCCCCATTTGCCATCCTGCATCCCTCAGATTTCTGCTGCATTCCCTCCACTGCGCTACCTCCACCTATTATCATATACCAATACAAAATTATTAACATTCTAGTACCAAATTCTTGTTACAAATCCTGCTTCATTCCCCTTCATTTAAACTCCAATCTCTCACTTTTACACATGTGACCTTTGAAAGGTAATTAATGCAGCTCATAGCCACAAAAAGTCAGGAGATTTTTAATACCAGAGCTCCTACGCAACAAGCAATTTTCAGGTAAAATAATGTCAGTATAACCCACATGTGTACAAAACTTGTACTGAATAATACTTTTTTAATTCTGGCTCCTGCCTCTGACCCTGATATCACTGAGTCTCAAGTCCCAGCTATTTGTGTTTATTTGTATAACCCACACCAAAGAAATAGAATTTTACAGCCCAGAAGACGACCATTCGGCCCATCGTGCCTGTGCCGACTCTGTGAGAGAGCTTTCCAACTAGTCCCACTCCAGCACTCTTACCCCATAAACCTGCAATTTTTTTTCTTTTCAAGTACCTATCCAGTTCCCTTTTGAAAGCTACCATCGAATCTGCTTCCACCTTCCTTTCAGGCAGTGCATTCTCCTAAAAAAAATCATTGTCTCCCCTTTGATAATATATTATTAATTATTATTATATCTGATATGGTATAAAATAGGTTTGCATAATGGATCCATAATCCACAAGGGTTAACACAGAAATGCAATAAAACCTTTAATAATGTTTTTTCTACAAATACTGCAAATTGTATCAGTTTTTCATTTTACTTAGTTTCAGTTTTGCCAGAAATTCTTTTGACTCATTCTGCAATTATGACAGAAAGTTGGACCCTCAAACCTGATTCCTTAACCTTTCCTTGGTATTGCCGGGTACTGACACTGACACGGAGCAATTTACTATTTCTGATTTATGTATGATAAATATGTCTGAGCTGGCATTTAATCTTTCATAGGACCATTGTAGCTTACAGTGTCAAATCAGCACATCTGATTGTACGCACAATGAGCCAAAGGGAGATGAAGAGTGCTGAGAACAAAGGTTGCTTGCAAGGTGTGTTGTGCTCGCCTGGAGAAACAATGAGAAGCATATTACTGTGGTTTCATTCACTGATAGGAGGCAGCGGCTTGGGGACTGGGAATGTAATTCAACTGCAAGTTTCCCCATTACTTTTCACTGTAACATTAGCCTGTAATTTAAGATAGAACACAGCTCACTCAAACAGCCTATCCTTGTTTCATCTTGTTGAAGAGAGCACAATCCTTTCTAAGATCTTCAGAGATGATATCATTTTATATATTTTTTATATATATAAAAAGAGCAAGCTCACATGGCAGTTCTGCTTTTCAGAAGCAGTTTCTAATCCGAGATTGGTGATTCATTATTAGCGTCAGTAAGCAATCCATCTGACATGTAAGGGGAAAAAATTAGCAGCTGTCACACCGTGATGAGTTAATTTCCTGACAGGCCTGACACTGAAAAGCCATTTGGAGACATGGAGATGGCTGATGAAAATCTAGTGCTGGTTTATAAGTGGGGAGGAAGAAAGGGCACACAAAATGGGAGGAGGAAGGAACTATAGCTAATCTACAAGTGTTGTGTACTCCTATATGCATCTGTTCATCTCTAAATATATGGTATGTTATATATTGATTATTGGTCAAAACATAGTGCGATTGCCTAATAACATTTAAAGAGGGAACAACTGTTCAAGATGGTGGCTTTTTAAAACATCAAAGAGATACAATATAATATTTTACTGTGCTGCTCTGGTACAATGAACCTTCAGGCCTATTAAAATCCATAGCATCACTTGCATTAAGAACAATCCTACATTCCGCACCTATCTAGCGGATGCCGGATTAGCTATTTTTAGTCAGAACCTATTAAATACTACCCTGTGGCAAGAATGCTTTTGATATTATTTGTGTTGGAGAAATTTGCATTTGCATCTCATGCATGTTATCATTTAAGGGAAATAGTAAATAAAGGCGCAAAGCTACATTGCCCAAGTAATTACGCAGTAGGTCACCTCTTGGGATCTGACACAAGGTTTTATAAATTTAAGGTAAAACAAATGCAGCTATTCAAACAAACAGCATACCTGAGTGGTGGCTGCTTATGAATAAAACAATTCCACGCTTTTTTATATATGGGTTTAAAAGCATATGTTTTACAAGGCTTTGTGAAAATGCAGTTTCATTTAAATGAATGTTAGCACAATAGAATCAAACAGGCAAACATGACCTATTGGGAAAGCTGTAAAGAATGGATGGTCCAAAATGTTTTAGCCTTTTATTCCTCTTCCCCGCAATGTTTCTTCTGATGTTGTTCCTGCCTAAAAAGAGGAGCTGTTTTGTTTATGTACCTGTGGGTCTTTAAATGTCCAAGAAACCTGATTCTGATTATTTCCAGCTCTTGGTGTCTGTCATCTAGTTTATTCAGGTGTACTATCAGGAGGATTTATTGACGGATATGGATGGTCAGATTTGGCAACCTACTTCCCAATGGCAGAGCACACAAAAAGACCAGCTTGTAGAAACAAAGCCTCTGCAGGACAATTTACAGCCTCATCTATCCTTGCCAATGAGCATCTTAATCTTCGCCACAGGAAAATATGGTGCTTTCCGTAACTTCTTGCTTCTTTCACTTGAGATG